TTAATCTATCTAAAATACTAAAAGTAAAAAAGAAGGTAATTTTTTTAATTAAAAAGAATCTTATATTTTTAAAGTTTATAAAATGAAATGGAAATTATTGCGTGCATTTATAATTAGATACTTTTAATAAGCATTTGTTATTAATTTTAATAACATATTGTCATTTTTTCTTTTATGAAAATTTCCATGCATGTAAAAATAATTTCTAATTTTAGACAAAACTACGTCAAAAAATTGTTAAAACTAGAAAAAATATAAATTATATAAAGCAAAATTTATATTTGTTATTACCCATAAAATTGTTTTTTTTAGTTAATTCAGAATCTTTCTTGGTTTTGAAAGAGTAGATTTCGTTCTCGCTGGCATCAGAATCGCCGAAGTCGTAATCAACAATCTTTTCGGAAACAGTTAACTGTGAGACTAATTTCACCTGCGCATGCTGTGGATTTTCGGCTGACAATGGATTAGATTTTAGGTTACTGTTATTGTCTTTATCGATAATATGCATAATAAATATATAATATGCATCTAATAAATTTAACAATTATTAAATAATAAAAAACAAATATTTCTCTTAATTATTAATTATTATTATATTCTTTTAGTTTTTATTATTAAAAAATATTTAAAAATTTTGCAAATATAATTAATATTCTCGTCTTTATAAACAATTTAATGCTCGAATACTGTAATAATACTTGTAATAATTTTCCGTTTGTAGAAAACCACAGTTAACAATAATAGGGTTACCACAGATCAGGGAAATTAAGAAAAATACTGGGAAAGTAGAATTTATTAAGAAAATCAGGAAAAAATCATCAAATTTTATTAAAAGTTTTAGAAAAAATTAAATTCTTGGAATTCATAAAATAGTTTTGAATTTTAGTGTCTAAAAAGCTTTAAAAATTCATTTAAAAAATTAACTCGTTTTTAATTTTTTTTTGTTTTCCTTATAAACTTTAAATTCACAGAAAAAATTAATTTTTGTATTTCTTACTATATTTATAAAGAATTTTGTCAAAATACATATAAAATAATTTATTTAGAGAATTTTAGTTAAAAATTTCAGAAAATTAAATTGAAATCAGAAAAATAATTTTTTAGGATTTACAGTGTCAATTTTTAGAAATTATTAAATTTAAAAAGGTTTGAAATTAATAACTTTTCAAATTCCTTATTCATATGAAAGAAAATAATGAATAAATATTTATTTAAAAAAGAAGTAAGTCAGGATAAGTTATGGGAAATCAAAATTAAATTTTTGTGTAACACAAAAAAATATTACATTTAGTTTTACTCAGAAAATTTTCGTTTTTAATTGAATGGGAACGAATTTTCTTTTTCGGAGCGGGAATTTCGTCCATGCTGGAATCAGAATCTTCGAAATCCATAAATCTCGATCTTTGCTTTGGTGTGCCACACATAATCTAAGATTAAGTTAATTTTTATTGTATCAGAAATCTGATTAAATTTTAAATATTTATTAAATAAAAAATGTATATAAATAAATTTATCTGTTTAATTAAATTTTTCCTGAATAATAAAAATAAATAGTAAATAATTTTTCAAATTTATAAAAATTTGTCATTGTAAATTTTAGCAGGAATTATTTAAAGATTTGTGTGTATAAATAATTTAATTTGTTATTAATTTTAATAATATTTTCATTTTTTGTCCTAGCTAACATTCCAAGTTTGTAAAAATCATTCTGTTTGTAAATAAAAGTTTATAAACTTCGTCAAAGAAATTGTATTAAATTTGGAAAAGAAAAATTAAATATATTAAAATTAAATAAGGGAAAGATTTATGTTTTTTTACCCAGAAAATTGTTTGGCTGAGCATGTTTTTTTCTTCTATAGGCGTGATTATTGTCGGTGATAAAATCAATGGCTCTCGATCGGTGCGTGATACCTGATGTACTCGGATCTAAAAAAAATTCCCTTTGTTAGTATTATTATTGTTTACATTATTGTGGTAAAGGATGTTTTTTATTTTATAATTACTACTATTATTTTTAATTTGGTGGAAATTGTACTCACTTTGTTCTAACGAATTTCGAACTTTTCTGGAAGGTAGCTCTCTCTTTGATAAAATTTTGGAATTTTCATATTTCGGTAATTCGGATATTTTTTTATTTATTTCTATTTGTCCTTGTTTAATATTTTTTTTACTATTGCATCATTTGGATTTTTTCTTTTTTGTGCTGTGGCAACTTTTTTAAAATTTAATTTTCCTTCCTTTGTGCAGGTTATAGAATTTAAAAATTTTTTGTCTTCTACAAATAAGATTTTAATTAATTTTAATGCAATCAAAATAAATAGTATCAATGATTTTCATGTATTTAAATTAAATATATTTTGTCCTTACCGCTTCTTATTTTCAATATTGCTTTATATTTTTTTCCATTATAATTTATTTCTGCTTCTTCTTCTTCTTCCACTCCTTTTAATTCTTCAGCTTCTTTCATTACAGTTATTGATTTTTGCTTAACCCATTGCACAAGCACCCACATTTTTTAAACTAAATATGTAAATTAATTTAACTTCAAACTCATGCGTTGCTATGACATAAATGAAGGTAAACAAATGATAATATAGTTTTAATGTGAATGTATCAGCAAGTTTATATCTGCAATTTTTGAATTACAAAGAGTAAAAATATTGACGTTAAATTTTTCAAAGAATAAAATGAGCGAAATATGTATTGAAGAATTACAAATTCCAGATGTCGCTGATGTAACTTGCTTTTATAAACATTTTTCTCATAAAGTTTTTTTATTTCTAGAAAATATATTTAACCCTAAAATTTAATAAATCCTCTGGTATTGAAAAATTTTCTATTCTAAAACGATGCTTAAATTTTAAAGGTTAAATAAATTTTTATATTTTATTAATAAGTTTATATCATAATGGAAATCATTAAATTTAGGTTAGCGTTTCGAGTATTTCCAGCGAAAGTTCTTTTAAAATAAACGAAGACAATAACACTTTTAATATTGAAGAATTGAATATTGAAAGTAATGAGGAATTGTCAACAATAAGCGACAACGAAAATAATGATCTAAGCGGAATAGAGAGCGAAATTAGTGTTAATGAATTAAATAGCGATTTAATTGACGAAGAACAGGATGACGAATATGATAATGCCGAAGAAGGTATAAAATAATTATAAAAAATTAATTATTAGATAAATAAATATTAAATTTTTTAATTAATTTTGAATGTTTTGTTTTATTAATTGATTTAATTAATTAAATAAAGTTTATTTTTGATAAGTAATAATTTATAATAATTTAATAATTAATTAAATTAATTGATTAATTAATTAATTTTAAAAATTTTAATTTTAATATATTTTATGTGAAAATTTCAAATTTTTGGTGTTTTCTTAAAATATTACAAATCCAACAATAAAATATGTTGATTCAGTGTTTATTTACTAATTAAATAATTAACAAATAAAAATAAATAATATAATAATAATAAATAAATATATAAATAATAATATATAATATAATAATAAATTTAATTTTAATTAAGAACTTTTAATTGATATAGAATTCATCATATCTTCTGATGAAGAATTCAACTACTTTTCCGATAAAGAGCCAGTCATTGATTCTGATACCTCTTCGGGTTGCGATGAAGAAATAAATATTGATTTTGAAGAAAATGATCCTCCTTTGTATCCAGGTGCACCAATGTCCTTGTCAGAAAGTCTGTTGTCCATTTTAGCGTTGACATCAAAATTCAATATATCAGGTGTTCTTCTAGCATCAATTTTAACTTTAATTGCGATGCATTGCCCACAGCCAAATTTTTGCGTAGAATCTCTTTATTTTTTTAAAAAATATTTTGAAGAATATCAATCCTCTTTATGTAAAAATTACTATTGTGAAAATTGATTCAAGGATTTACAAAATGAAAACAATAAATGCACCAGATGTTTGGAATTAACGAAACAAAATTATTTTATATCGATGTCGATTATTTCTCAGCTTCAAGCAATGTATAGTCGTCGTGGATTCAGAGAAAAATTGTCTTATCGACAAACAAAGGTCAAGAAAGTTGAGGACAATTACGAAGATATTTACGATGGCTTATTGTACAAAGAGTTAAGTGAAGAAGGTGGAATTTTAGAAAATCCAAATAACATCTCTTTTACCTGGTACACCGACGGTGTACCAGTATTCAAATCATCAAAAGTCTCCTTTTGGCCTGTATATTTAGTGATCAATGAACTTCCGTATAAAGAAAGGTTTAGGAAAGAGAATTTAATAATTGTTGGGCTTTGGTTTGGAGATAAAAACCAAATGCAAATTTGTTTTTATTATCAGCATATGAGTAAGTCCAACAATTATTAAATGGAGTTTCTTTCAATATACCAGAAGCAAAAGAACCTTTAATAGTGCATAGCATAATTATTGCAGGGATGTGCGATTTACCTGCTAAAGCACTATTTATGAACATGCAGCAGTACAATAGCAAATATGGATGTCAGAAGTGCTAAATTCGTTCACAAAGAGTAAAAAACCGCCAAGTGTATCCTTACAAAGCGATCTTACCACTACGAACTGAAGCTGAAACGCTAACTCATGCACAGTCTGCTGACTCAAAAAATAAAATTGTGAAAGGAGTAACAGGTTCCAGCATCCTATCTAGAATAGCTTATTCGTGGATAAGAACTACTGCCGTAGACAGTATGCACTGCGTGTTCATAGGAATTCTTAAGACTCTTTTAATATTATGGTTCAATCCAAAGTACAGCGGTAAACGGTTTTCTGTTTCTCATGTTGTTAGTGTGGTCGATGAAAGACTTAAAGGTCTTTTACCACCGTAATTTGTTTAAAGAAAGCCAAGGTCAATTTTAGAGCACCTCAAATATTGGAAAGCGTCGGAGCTTAAAAACTTTTTTTTACTATTCTCTGCCAATTTTAAAAGACGAGAACGATCGCGCGCTGCCGCGCGCGCGTTTTTTCTCTTGCATTTTTATTCTTTAAATTACAGTCTTTTGTTTGTTAAGGTATCAATTTGAGTGACAGTTTCTGATAATAGGAATTTTTTAATATTATTCAATTTAATAAAATAATAGCCTATGTTGTGCGTAAAACAATTTTTTATACCTTTACAATTCTAGTTCTGTTTTTATCTGTTTCTAAATGTATCATTTCTAAAGTTTATGGTTTTGATAAAAAAACAACAGTTATCTTTGCTTAAAGAAAAGCGTATATTTCAAGAATGGCACATTTTATAAAAAGTTTTGTACGATGAAGTTATAGAAAACCTTTTTATAATCAAAGTAATCTATTCGTTAATTAAATTTTGTAACATTTAAAATCTTCCATAGTAAATTTATATTTTAAAAAATAGTGATGAAAGAAAAACGTTACTAAATAAACAATTTTCAACTATTTTTCACTTAGCTAGTAAAAAAATATCTCTACTGTCAAAGAAAGCCATAAACAGAGGATATTAAATTAAAAATTTACTTTTGTTTCTTAAAATCGTTCCTACTTTTGCTATAAAAAAGAAATTTAAGTGTGGTTTATGTAAATATTATACAAAAAATGTAAGTACTTCGTCATTTCGAAGAAAATAATTTATTTCAATATATGCTTTTCTATAAGATTCATGGGATGCAAAATTTCGTTAATAATCTTGAGAAATATTATCTTTAAACTTTTTTCAAAGTTCATTTGGATGAACTGGTTGGCAGTACATTAAAATACGTACAAATAAGTGTCTTAATTATCTGAAGTTTGAACTATTATTTGAAATTAGGAAATTAAAACGTCTTTGACCAATTGATAAGAAAGAAACGTGTAAAAAAATCTTACGTGTGAATCTTATTACAAAAAATGACGTAATTTACCAATAAGAAGCGTCGAAGAAAGTCTTACGCGTAAAGACAGCCATACTGAGATACACTCCTTTTTTAAGAAAAAAAATATATAACGACTCAGACATTTTTATAGAAAAAATATTTACTTTTATTTCAATAATTCAGTGTAAACATAATTCTTGATTAGTAAATTAGGTCTTTGATTTCCTAAATATATAATTAATGATTCCCAAGATTTAACTCGTGAAAATGCAACGTATACTTGCCCATGATTAAATACATTTTTACGAAGGTCTACAGCAATCTTGTCAAAAGTTTGTCCTTGGCTTTTATTTATTGTTATTGCGAATGCTAATTTTATAGGAAATTGCCGTCGTTTGAAAGTAAAAGGATAAATATCCTCACAATACAGCGTAATACGATTTATAAATACAATATCTCCAACCTTATCACCTGTTAAAATACGACAACGTAGCAGATTGTTTGATAGTTCTAATACCTGCATTCGCGTTCCATTACATAAACCTTCATTGATACTAAGATTTCGAAGTAGCATGACAATACAATTGGCTCTTAATCGTAATTCATAAGGCGGGAAATTTTATGGATTTAAAGTATTCAAATACTCTGGTATATATTATTATCATTATCATTTAAAGTACCATTTCCAACTGATAATAAATATTCTGAAAATTCTTTTTCACCAGGTAAAGTTCTCATATTTTCTGTTAATGATATCACCTTAAAATGACTCCATAATGTGCTAGATTTAATAGATAAATTAACTAATTTGCTTCTAGTAGCATTAACTTTAACAGGCAATAATTGTCTAAAATCACCACCAAAAAGCATAGTTTTTCCACCAAATGGCATATCGACATTCATAAAATCGCGTAATGTTCTATCAATTAATTCCATAGCATATCTTGGCGCCATTGGAGCTTCATCCCAAATAAAGACATCAACCTCTTTCAAAAATGTAGCTTCCTTAGATTGACTTTTAATATTTGATGTAGAATCATAGAACAATGGAACAGGCATCCCAAATGTTTTATGTACACTTTTACCACGGGGAAGTAATATTGCGGCAATGCCTGTAAATGCCATAGTACAAACACATTTTCCTTTACTTCTTAACAAATGGTATAAAGTTGTATAAACAAAAGTTTGTCCGGATCCACATGGTCCATCAATGTAATAACATGAAGAAGATGGTATTCTTTTATCTTGAATAACTACATTTAATACTTCATCAACAATATCCTTCTGTTTGGAATTCAGTTTCACATATTGCATTTCATCAATCTCTTTATGTTGTTGCAATGACATTTCGTTGTTCGCTTGATTTTCTGTTTCAATACTTATTTCATTTAACTGTATCATTTCAGGAAAATTGCTAATATTTGATCCTTCATGCAACAGAAAGTTAATTATATCATTATATGCTCTTTTATGAGCTTCATTAGATGGATAATTTTTCTGATAATCTTCAGACTTAGCCTCTTTAAACTTTTCCCAAAGTTCGTTTGGATGAACTGGATGGCAATAAATTAAAATACGCACAAATAAACGTCTTAATTGTTGCGGCATCATCCATACTTCTCCTTCTGCCAAAGCACGTTCCCATTCTCCAGCATCTTCAATAAGGCCTAATGCTAAACATGCACTACGAAAAATGTCATGTACAATATTGTTGACAGTTCGCAGATGATCATAACTTGTAGCCCCTTTAACTACTATTAAAAGTAATCTAAGATGAAACAGTTCTGATTGACTGGGCGAAATTGAATACATCCGTCCAATGACATTAAATGACCCTTTACGCTTCACCCATTTTAATGCATTTTCACCACGTTCTTTCTTAAAAACATAATAACATGGAATTTCTGCATATGTATATTGTCTAGCTTGTGAATCACGCCTATTTAAATCGAAATATTCTAATAACATAGTCCGTTTCTGTAAAGCTTCATTTATAGCATCATCATTTGCTTCTTCACTAATGGTTACAGTATGCCAATTAATTAAATGAACAGGTAATCGGAGAATAGAATGACTTTTACTCTGTAATGGTCTAACAAATATTCTATCACATGCTTCAACAGGACTAACATATCGAGTTTCAATAAAGTTTTTTATTTCATCATATTCTAAAGAACTTGTATTATTACTACTATCGGTAATTACTACAGCAGCAGCATCATGTCCCTTAAAAATATATTTATACAAATATTTTACGGATTTAATACTTGAAACTACTTCTACATTAATATGACAATTAAATAACTGAAGTAATGTAGGATTGTATGGAATAACGTATTGATTATCTGTAGTTCCTCCATTTAGGCGATCGTATTGTCCTGTATTAAGGCAGCGATACGTTGGGTATGCGTTTTCATCCATTATTGTCTCATAACGGAATTGTTTTGGGAAACCTTTCAAACATTTACTATTATTATCTTTACACCAATTTCCACGTGGGCCATGAATCATATTTTTCATAACGATGTCATGAAGTATAACATTTTCTGATTGACTTGGAATTTCTGCCGAAATATATTTGTCTACAATCTCGGGTGTTGTTATTTTATAATTTTGTTTCAAAGTCACTAATAAATGCATATGCGGCAATCCACGTTTTTGATATTCAATGACATACACATAAGCAATCACTTCGCCAAATAATTGTTCCTTTACAATAGTATTAATAAGTTTATCTTTTTTTATGGTAAAAACACGCGATACAATATCTGGTCTGTCAAAGGCAGTTTGGTTAGGTAATAAATTTTCCTTAATTTCACGCCAGTTTGGATTACACGTCATTGTAATAAAAAGATCAGGTTTACCAAATTTTCTCACAATAGCCATTGCATCTTGGTAATGCTGTAACATATTTCTCGGAGAACCTGTGAAAGATGATGAAAGTATTACAATTTTCCCAACTTCATTGTTCGAATCATCAGCTCTTCTTTGTAAATGATCAATTAGACCTTCGTAAGTATCTGCACGAAGTTTCTTTTGATTATTTCGACAGAAATTTGTCCTACCTTTTTAATTTTCACATAACTGTCGACAATCCATTGCTGAAATAATCTACCACCCTTTAAAAATACATTGTTGTCCCTAGAAGCCATTCTATGCCTGATGTATGCAGCTCTTGATACACGTTTATTTGTATTAGCGCAGGTCAGATTTTTGTCCCAACCTCTTGTTCCATGTGGATAAAATAAAGGATATATCCATGGCTCAACATTGGGATTCATAGAACTTATATATTGTAAACTTTTTGTATTCTTATTATATACGGTAACATATGATTCTGGAATATCACCATCAGCAGTTGTAGTAAAAATTGCTGCAACTTCATTGACACTTTGTAAATTATAACGTCTACTATCCATCCCAGGCTTTAATGAAAATAATAATTGCATCTCAGGCTAAATTTTTGCATTATTTTCAGTCATTGTTTTTTTACTTTTTTTCATGCATCATACGGTAGGACTGTGCAAATAGGTTACAATCCCGAAGGGCTGTTTCAATTCCATCAACAATATCTCGGTTTAATTGAACATTATTCTTAAAACAAATTTCGGAAGCTTCGTTTTGATCAACAATAAATAACTGTCCAAATGAAGGAGTATCGTTCCTTTCTGCATACAAAGATGTATTCATTTGATAATAAACCTGACTATGTATTTTGAAACAATATGGTCCTGGTAGTCTATTGTTAAAATTAACTAAGTTAGCGTTGAAAGAAGCAAAACCAAATGAATTATTGTAAGGTCGTATATTATGAAGAAAATTCCCAGATAATTCGTGGGTACCATCAAATAAATTTTGTAATATGAGTGAAGGAGCAGGTAGATCTTCAAGAATGACTTCGCCATGTTTACAACAATCATGAAATGAATTTTTTTTATTAGATACTCTTTCTGCTTGGAAATGTTTAGCATTACAATGCTCACATGAAATGTTCATCGCACCAGCAAAATGTTCTTCTATATGCGAGACTGAAATACTGTCAGAGAAATTATGATTCTGTGCAAAATCCCGTTTTTTTGGCTATGAGTTTTTTGATAAGCTACATTTTTTTGACGACCGGAAATATTAGTATTTGCTAAATTTGCTGTAACAGTTACATTATCTTTTGCCAAAGATGTAGTAACAGTTGTAGACGATTTTTCTGAATTTATATTTGATTTTGACACTGTAATAATACTGTTCTTTGTTTGAAGTGATTGAGGGTTAAGAATTCTATTATTCTCTTGTTTTTTTTGTCGAAACTTTCTTTGATAAGCAGCTTTCTTTTGACGTTTCATGACTTGATGTTGTTCTTCTTCCTCTAAAGAACGTATTATTGATCTTTTTTTTACTTGATTTTCATTTTTTAAATTAGTATATTTTGTAACATTTCTTGAATCATTACAATCATCATTAGTTTTTGATTTTATAAATAATTCACTGTTAACTTTATGTTCACAAAGTTTTACATAAGAATGATCACGTGTAATGTTCATTTCATTACAATAACCCATCTCTATATGTGACTTTGAAATAATATCAGACTGATTTTGTTTTTGAACAGAAGTATGTTTATTTTGTCGAGAGGTGCGCTTGTAAGCAACATTTCTGTCACGAATTGACGTTTTAACTTTAGAAGTAGAAATATTTTCTTCTGCTGATGATAAAGCTGTAGATGTGCCTTGGGGTCTCGTATTTAAAGTTTGCTCTGCACTAATGAATTCATTAGAATCCATGATTCAGAGCGAACAATTTTATTATTTTCTCGCTTTTTTTGTCGATATTTTTTTTGATAAGCAGCTTTTTTTTGACGTTTTATGATTTTATATTTTTCCTCTTCTTTAGGAAAATGAACCATAGCTCTTTTTTCTCCTTGCTTCTGAGTTATTATTAATCTTGTATCTTTCATTCCATTGCTTGAATCAATAGAAATATTATTAACATCATTTGCTGGAATTAAAGGCAAATCTTCTAAACAACTATCAACAAAATTTTTTTTACAAACATTGCTGGTTGAATTCAACGATGATAAATTATTGTCAACAATTTTATTTTCTTCATTTTGGAAACTTTTTTCTCTAGCTCGATTCCTAAGAAGACACTCCCAATTACATTCAACAGTCATAGTTCTAATATTAGTCGACCTTACTGACGGAAATTTACTTAAACGATTGTTTTTGAACATTAACATTAAATGATTTCTCATGTTATAATAATAGTAATTGACAGAGTAGGGCATAATATTAAAAAATATCGATGTTGCGAATGCTATTGCATATATTCCACAAGCAAGACTATTGTTTGGTTGTTGATCAACAGTTGTGAAAACTACTGGAGGTTTAAAAGGATATAATCTACTTAAATATTTCCTTTGATCTTCATTTAAACATCCTTCATTAAGACTATCATAAATATAAAGTCTCATTCCATCATAATAAGTGCAAATCCAATGACCTTTCTTGATAGGTCCACTAAAAAGTATTTGAATATGCTTTTTACCTTTTTCAATCGGACTAATAAATTCAAGCGTATAAAAATACAAAGTGCTTTGCATGCTAAAAGCAGAATTTGATTCCCTTCTCAATAATTTTTCGAATTCATCAATATGAGTATCATTTAACATTCCTCCTTCAGTAAGTATAATATTAAAATCTGTAACACTTAAATTAACAGTTCCTTCCTTGTTCGACATGATTTCTTTCAATTTATTGAAAAGATATCGCTTCTAAAAAATAGTTTTTCATAAAATTAATTAATTCAGAACACATGTAAATAATGTTACTATTGTCACATTTAACAGTAACTGGAATTTTTATCTTATCCTTTCTTATTAAAGATTATTAAGAATGTAAAGAATGTATCTTCATCTATTAATATTATTAATATTATTAAATATAAGTATATTTTTGGTAAATTTTTCTGTTTTGTATCTGTTAATCTAGTATCTGTTAATAGAGTATCTGTTAATCTAGTACCTCTTGACTAAATCTCTGTTTATCAAGTATCTGGTATCTCGTAATCACATGTTATTTTTAGTACATCTTTAATATTCATAAAGTTTTTTCCAAAATAATAACTAACTACCAAAATGTTAAAAAACAAAATGTTAAAAAATCAATAATTAAGATTTAAAAAAACAAATATTAATCAATATTAAATAATAATTATTACCACTATAATATAATTATGTACAAACATCAGAATTTAAAAAATCAATATTCTACATTTAGAAATCAAAATAACAGGCAAATGTCCTTTATTCCTTTAAACTTTAACTTTAATTAAATTAATGTATCCTTTAAACTGTAACTTTAAAACTTTAACTTTAATTAAATTAATGTATTTAACTTTAACCTTTAACTTTAATTAATAAAATTAATTAAATCCTTTAAATTAATAAATCAAATAATTCACACATTATATTTACAAACTCTTCCTAATAATTATATATACAAATAATATTAACAAAAAATTTAATTTGTATTTACATGTATTTTAATTTAAATACTTACGTACGTAACGTATGCAATGTACTTTAACTTTTTTCAAATGTACAAAAAAATTGCAACTTTTTTCAAATGTACAAAAAAACAAAACCACAAAATTCACAATCAACACTTTCAGAAAAAATCACTCAGCAAATAACAGCCAATACTTCTTATCGAAACGATACACTTGTCACACTTTGCGAATGGCTGACAGTTGCTGACACTTGTAATATTTTGTAATTTTTCATACCAACCAAAAAAAACTATGCGTTTCACACTGTGGTGAGGTTACATAGCGAACAAACAATTGTTTGGAAAAAAAGATGCGCGCGCAACAATTTTGAAGCGTCTAAAATGAATCATAAAATTAAATATATTTTATTATTAAAAAACTTTTCATTTATTACAAACCAAATCATAAATAAAAATTATTTTTATCCTAAACTACTTTTGGTTAACTTTTAGTTAATAAATAAATTTTAATTAATTTATTTTAATTTTAATTTTAAAAAAGAGAAAAACGAAAATTTAAAAGTGTGAGGTCACCATCATTATAAAATTCAGCCAATGAGGAACACTCATTATAAAATCAGCCAAAAATCAGCCAATGAGAAAAAAGTTCTACACTTGAAGTTAGCTGCTTTGACATCAGTAAGTAATGTCGTCTCGATTATATCCAATCAAAATAAAGGATTTTGAATTTTATCCAATCAAAATAAAGGAATAAAGGATTTTGAAAAAATAGCCAATCAAGAAAAAGTTCTACACTTGAAGTTAGTCGATCTTACGCACCTCGTTTTTAAGAAAGGATATTTTACATCCTCAATATTTCGATCATTATCAAAATTTGGTTGTAGGGATATATCTGCTTTGCGAACAAAGCATTTCAGAAAACATGATCAATGATTCTTCTCGTCTCCTTAACGAATTCGTGTCTAAATTTTGACAATTATATGGTCTTGAATATATGTTGTGACGTATCAATTTTAACTAATTTAATTTAGTATAAACTTTCTGCTTTACGTCAGACAAAATCCGACGCTTTCAACAAATTTAATAATAAGAAATTTAAGTTAATAAACTTCGCCGTCAGGCGCCAATTAATTTTTAAGCTTAATTAATAAACTTTACTTGACTCGACCAACAAACAATTTCGACACCTCTGAGTTTCTCTTTCACTCAGAGGGAATTCTGCTCAAACAGTTGGCAGCAGAAAAGCCAACGGCGAGACACGACTGGCTTAGTACTGGCAAGCGACTTACCCACGGTGATCTTTCCCTTGGTTACCCACACAGAACGTGATTTCTCCGGTTCTCTTGGTCGTCAACTCTTGGGGGGGACACTCGGTCTGCTACGGGAGGTATTGGGGAAAAGAAAGGCAAAACGTCACTCACTTAAACTCTTTAACTTGTATTTTATTCCACTTAAATCCTGGCGTTTATTACAGTTATCGTCCACACTCGTTATATATTTCACTTATAGTCCGCTCAACAACAAAATTAACAAAACGGTAACGGAAAATTCTCTTACAGCGACGGTCGTAGTACCGGCGCGGCAATCTCAAAATTCGTTATGGCGGCGAAAGTATAGGACACCTGTAGCGTCCCGAAATTTCCTCGTGGCCCGTCTTCTTCTTCTCCTCGTTCTTCAAAATAATGGTACTGGCCCCGCCATCTACCACTTTCTCTCGTTAAGCTAGCCGCGCGACCTACTTTCGCTCAACTAGTGGGTCATCCGGCGGTACTAGCTTTCCCTCAATTACCATTTATCACTGGGATTGTCAATTCGGGGCTTTTCCGACGGATGGCGCGACGATTTAGAATTTTCGACAGAAATGTCTCGTGTGAATAATTCACATCGTCACAATGTCTTGCAATATACATTCTTTACTCCACTTTGCAGACGACGATCGGACGAAAGGACCAATATGGGTGTATAGTTGTTTTCCCTTTGAGGATATAAACGGAAAACTTAAAGCATTCGTGCAAGGAAGTAAATCAGCAGAATTGCAAATATATTATGGCATGTCATTATTTATAAATACGTATACCTTAAGTAATGAAAGACTTCAGGAAGGTTCAAAAGCGCATACATTTTGTAAAACGTTACACACTCCTTCTAAAAAAATGAAATTAACAACAATAGGTAACGATTTATATGTAATTGGCAATGTTTCAAAATTAGTTATACCACCTGTTATACAAGACGCTATTATTCGTAATAATATCCATGGAGAGCAAATTAAAATCTTTCACAGACTATACAAAAGTCAAACTGTATTTTCTTCAGAAAAATATACTCGCGCCAAAAAAACGAACTCCACATGCGTAAAATATTTCCATAGCGGAATTTTAAAAATAGGAAATATTTACTTTTTTATAAGAGTAACAAACTGCTTTTGTAAAAAAATGTGTGAATGTCCTGCAAATCACTATGCGGTAATAAAACCAACAATTTCTGAAGATGATTTTGCTCTTCGTACATTTCCTCATATAAAAGTACAATATATTCATAAAATTACGCAAATTCCAGATGCTTTCGAGATTGTAAATGTGAACAATTTGCAGTGCGTATGTTTTCAAGTTACCTTTCAAGTTAAAAAAGATTCCGTATTAAATTTTGCAGCTGAACCAGTTAATACTGTCGAATTTGAATGATTTCACTGTAATCAATGTGCAGGTTATTTCATTCGATTTTGTCGTTTAACACTCAAAAAAAGTTTTGATTATTGTTACTAAATACATCTAGTTAACAAATTTCTAGTTTAATTAACTGGAAATTTTTTGGTTAATAATATCAGAGAATTCTAGTTAAATAATTTTGGTTAAATTTACAAGAAATTTATACAACCAGTAATTTGTAATCAGAATTTCCGAAACTTTTACACAGAAAAAGTAGTAAGGGTATATTTAATATTCTATTCCGATTAGAATAACCAGAATTCTATTATTTTAAGGGTATGTGGAATCAGCCAACTTCAATTAATACATGTATTAATATTCCCACCAGTTTTCTAAAAAAATATTTAATAAATCTTGACAAAATATAAAAAAAATAATATTTTATTTATTGAGGCATGGATCTCTAATCCAATTAATACAAAAATTTGCTTTTAAATATTATTTATCATTTAATAAAAAGTTTGATATTTTCTGAGAAAAAAAGACAATCAAATACAAATTAATATTTAAAAAAATGAATAAATTTATATTTTTCTATTCAAACTTTCATTTTTTTGACAATTTTCGAGAAAAAAAGACAATCGAATACAAATTGCCATTGAAAAAAATGAATGTTAACATAGAAAAATATAAATTTATTCATCTTTTTCAATATTAATTTGTATTTGATTGTCTTTTTTTCTCAAAAAATATCAAACTTTTTATTAAATGAAAAATAATATTTAAAAGCAAATTTTTGTATTAATTGGACTAGAGATCCATGCCTCAATAAATAAAATATTATTTTTCTTATATTTTGTCAAGATTTATTAAATATTTTTTTAGAAAACCGGTCGGAATATTAATACATGTATTAATTGAAGTTGGCTGATTCCACATACCCTTAATGAAACTTTTTTTGAGTAAAATAATAACCTTAATTTTTTGTGTTTATATCACTATATTACATTACGACAATTAAAGTTTTACGAATTCTATTAATAACATTTTTATTTTACAATTTAAATGTATAAATATTGTCAATAATTATTACTTCAAATTATCATTATTATTATCATTATTTGCAAAAATGTCAACACAAGTTAACATAATGATTATATTGTGAAAAAGGTTATAATAAAAAAAATAAAATTACAAATATAAAATGACTTAAAGTTATTAAATATGCAATGTGTATAATAATTTTTAACTTAAGTTTAAAAAAATTTGTTACATTAAAAAATTCCGATCTGAAAAAATTTTTTTATTTTTATAATATAAAAATTTTTATTTATTTTCTGGGATTTAAACAATTAATTTTTCAATTACTCAAGCCTTAAGAATCGATTATTATTGCTTATCTGTAATAAAGAACACAATTTTTTTAAATGTAAAAATTCATAAAAATGTCTTTATTGTAAAATATTAAAAAATGTTAATATAAAATTTTTCAATTTTATCAAGCATTAATCGAACTTTGCAACGCTAGTGAGCTTAAAGTTTTAAATGATTTTTCAAGTTTGTTGAAGCTTTATGTTATTCATGTTTATTGGTAAGTAAACAAAAAATGTATTTTTTCATTTTGAATATGAATTCTATCTTTGAGGAATTAGAATTTTCTAGTCTTATAAAGCTCTTAAAGAGCTTTATTTCGAATCATGAATTCGAGTCTTGAGCCATGAGTTAGTCCTAAATTTTAAACGAAGTATAAGCTTGAGGCAAGCCTTAAGTTTTAAGATAAGTCTTTAGAGAATTTAGTAAGCCTTGAAGGAGTCTTAGGCTTTGAGCTTCAAGTGAGCCTTGAGATTTAAGCGAGTCTTGAGCAAAATTTTAGTTTAAGGTACGATTTGAGCCTTCATCAATTTTAAGTCTAAACCTTGAGGTAGCCTTGGGGTAGCCTTCAGGTAGCCTTCAGATAGCCTTGAGGTAGCCTTGAGGTAGCCTTGAGGTAGCCTTCAGGTAGACTTGGGGTAGCTTTAAGGTAGCCTTGGGGTAGCTTTGAGGTAGCCAACATTTTTTTACGCGGGAGGGGAATTTTCAGCTTCAAACAAGTCTCGAGCCTTGAGCGAGCCTTGAGCTTTAGGGGAATTTTTAGCTTCAACCAAGTCTCGAGCCTTGAGCGAGTTTTAAGTTTTAGATGAATTTTTAGCTTCAACCAAGTCTCGAGCCTGGAGCGAGCTTTTAGCGAGCCAACATTTTTTTACGCGGGTACTGAATCACCATATGTCGTCGGTTTGGTGGAAAACTGTACCATTTCGGTAAATGTTTTTAAAACATACCAATTCAAGAAATTTTTTTTTTCTTTTTTCCAAGTTTGTCAACACTGCTGCTAGACATAAAATAAGGTTATGCATTTTTAGAAAGCGGTATTTTAAATATTCTCTTGTTCATCTTTTCAATGTATTAATTCAAAATTTCTAATAATTTAAATTAATTGCTTGTGAATCATTATAAATTCTTTAATGCAACGCTTTTCTAGATCTTCATCGAAATGGTATGTTTTATAATAAACTTTAAAATGGTATTGTTTACAACGAATTCTTGAAAAGGTACAGTTTTCCACCAAGCCAAAAATGTATTTTATTATTATTATTTTATTCTTAGAAGTTATTGTAAAAGTCGTTAAAACTCTCATTTTCAAAATTTGACAGCTTTTTGACAATTGGTAGCTGTCAAAAGATATTTTTGACATCATATTCGTGTTCAGCGTATGAAAAACTGTGGGAATACATATACCCAAGTCAAATTTTTAAGAAATAAAAAAGTTATAATACAAAGTTTGCAGAAGTGCACCAAACCCATGTTAAACCCCATTTAAACTTTAACCCTTCGTCGGCACGGGTTAATATTTATCAAATGGGCTGTTCTTGTGGGTAGCTTATTTTTTTGCATTTTAATTCAAATTCCGGCCGGTAACATAAAAAATTCCAAATTTTTCAAAAATAAGAACCACCCTAATTAATACATATAGTGATTCAGTATTTTTTAAAGTAATTAAACACAGATTTGAAGTCTAGATTTTTTTTAAATAATGAATTTTTAATAGTGCAATGTGAAACACCTACTTCCCATGTTCCAAACAATATATTTTACTAAAAAATTCCTAATTGACAGTCACTGCACAACACTATGGTAAAAATTATAATAATAAGGGCAAAATTGATGAGTTGCACCAAATTACAAAATCATCTGGTAGCTTGTACGCATTTCAATGTCCCAAAATGGCTTTTGAGGAATAAAAAGCTTATAAAATAAGGAACATTTTTGGGTATTTTTAAAAAAATTTAAAGGGGGGAAAGAGGGAGGGAGATTAAAAAAAAAAATTTTTTTATTTTTTTTTTTTGATGAAACTACATTTTTTTAAATAATTAGTAATTTCATTCAAAAGTTTGGAAAATTCTCTACTAAAAACACTTATACAACTTTAAAATCTATTGATATGGGTAAAAGATATTGCCATTTGAAAATTATACTGAAAAAAATTGAGCCCCTGATAACATAGCAACCACGCATTACACAGAATGCCTCACATACATTGTTAAAAATGAAATTTTATTTTTAAAATTTTAAAATCTTATCGTAAATTATTTAAAATTTTTTAAAAAATATTTGTTTTAAAAACTACGCGTGATAACAAAACTTTTCATTATAAAAACGTCCAAATTTTTTTTTTATTTGAACCAAAAAATACAACCAAAGGTAAGCCATTATTATAGGCACTACAAATTAAAGTAATTCATGTTCATGTATAATAATACAAAAAAAGGGAGTATGTATAAAATAAATGAAAAATGTGTGCAATTATCAAATAAACAAAAGTAGGCGAAGAGATGAGGAACAAAAGAAAACAAAAATGATAAAGGAATTAGAGAAAAAAATCAAAATACAAATTTATTTATGGTCGCAGGGCTATGATGCGTGAAATGATATTACGTTTGCAAGCTAAAGCATTTAAACTAAAAGTGTCGAAATCAGTATCGCTACATTCAAATATATCGTTAATGGTTTTACACATTCTATACATCGAAGACATATAACCAATTGGTCTTGTAGGCTTTCGCAAATAAAAAGGATACCATGACCTAGAGGTAAGACGTGGGATTTTAAAGTTAATATTACTAAGTAAGAAAGGGCAATCAATTTGAGAATTTAATAAATTGTAAATAAATTTACATTTAGAAGTAATGTCCTAAGTTGAAATTTCAACTTCTTGAAAAAAATTGAAACTCAGGGAATTTGTTGTTCTATCAAGTAGAAATGTGCCCCAAAAAATATTTTTGATTTTTTGGAAATTTGGAGGGGGTAGAGAAGGGTAAATTTGACCAATTTTGCTAACACTGGCTACTTTGTTAATTCTTTCTGAACATGTAATGGGAAAAAAGTTTTAGAATATGTTTCTGAAAGTGTTTTTCGTCCTCTGTCCAATTGTGTATTTTATTTTTTAATATTTTAAAAATTTACCCTAATTCTGGATAATTAATATTTCATTTTCAATTTCCCAAAAATTTGATGCGCGCTACGTCGCGGTTGCACTGAGCCGCGTGGTAACCGGCGTGAGGCGATGCGCCCGCGACGCAATTTATTCTTTGAAATTTAATAACTCAAAAAAAGGGCATTCTGAAAATTTACATGCCGATAGGAAAAAACGTCAGCTTTCGATTGCGATAATTTATTTTTAAATAAAACGGACCAATTTTTGGGATATTAAAAATTAAATATTAATTATTATAAATTAGGGTAAATTTTTAAAATATTAAAAAATAAAATACACCATTCAAAAGAGGACGAAAAAACCTTTCAGAAACATATTCTAAAAAAATTTTCCCATTACAAGTATGTTCAGAAAAAATTCACAAAGTAGCCGGTGTTAGCAAAATTGGTCAAATTGACCCCCCTCTACCACCTC